TGAAAGGTCTGGATGGCACTCACGGGTCAAGGAGGGTTCTGGGGTTTGAAGCTGTGGAAATCAGCTGTCAGGGTGGGAAGACAGATGTGGTCACTGTTTCCTTCTAAGCTCATGTGTCAGGGCCCAGGCTTCCAGTGGTCACAGAATACTCCATACAGGACAAACTCTTCAGTTAACAACCATCACAAATCTGGACAAAGAGAACACATATCTAAAGGCACTGAGAGTGAGACAGACCAAAACTGAAGGGGAGCTCCCCCTCACCCCAGAGGACACTGGCAGACCAAGCAGCTGCAGTGGGGCAGATCAAGCAAAAAGCTGCCTTTGCACCCTCTAGAGGAGTCGGGATGAGGTTTAGGGCTGCACAAACAACTGGAAAGCAGGGGAAATCCTAGCGAGGATGGACCTACAGGAGGAGTGTCCTGAAATCCTTGGCTGACTCTGGAATCGAACAGAAGCAGGTCGAGTGTCCAGGGACCCTTGGAAGAAAGAGTCAGAGAGAGCTACGCAGATGATGCGGCAGTGGCACACACAGGGGACAGAGTTTAGATTCATCTTGCCATGTTAGAAGGGCCTGGTAAAAACAGGCTTTCCACCCAAACCCTGGACGGCCCACCTCAGAAGTGAGAACCATGTCCCAGGACTGAGGGGACTGGAGTAAAGAACAAGAGTAAGGGCAGGACTGACACAGATCTAATGAAGCCGAGAAGCGAGCCTCCACAAAATGCAAGTGAGCTGCTCACAGTTAAAAGAGTAGTAAACAACACTACTCAGAGGATGGTAACAATTTAGAATTTAGCCCACATATTATCCCCAACACAGGGTACACAACAAAACAATCTAGACATGAAGAAATTGAAAGTATGACTTACAGCAAAGAGAAAAAGACCCAGAAAAAACCTACATGGCGGAATTGTCAGAAAAGGACTTTAAACTTGATGGTAAGAGATAAAGAGATTAAAAACAATTCAGGAAAAATGACTTGTTTATAACCAAATGGAAATCTTAGAAGTGAAAAATACATCAGAAAAAAAATTTTAGTATTTGCCACTGGATAGGAGTTACAACAACATGAATGCAAAAGAATCAATTAAAGACAAGTCCAAATAAAAGTTACGTAAACTGAGGCGCAAAGAGAAAAATACATATTTTTTTAATGAGAGGTTTTTTTGCTATAGACTGCAGGTACTTGCTGCAAAGGTAGACAGAAAGGGAGAAATCCCTCCAGGTGAGATGGCCATGCCACAATCGCTTCTCCTCCATTCTCCTCTAGGGATTCTGGCCATGCATGCATATGTGCCAAGTATGAGTTTTAAGCTGCTGGGTCTAGGACTCGAACTGTGGTCAACTATATGGGAGTCCAGCAATGTAGCCATCATGCCATCTGCTGGTCCTGAGAAATAGATTTGAAAATAAATAAACTCAATTACCTTGTTAATAGTACTTTGGATAGTATCAAATAAATTCCAAGAGAGGAGAGAGAATGAAGCAGAAAAATATGGAAAAATGGCTATTTTTTCCAAACTTGGTAAAAAAAACAGCAACTACAGGACTCACAAAGTTCACAGAACCCCAAGCAAGATAAATTAAAAATTACACATTATGTTTATTCTATGAAATTCCTGAACACTAAAGCTGAAAAATTAGCCAGAGAAAGAACAGATATTACATACAAGACAGTCATAAAAATTGCTATTAGGCCAACCTGCTAAACGTAGAGCCCTGCAAGGCTGGAAGCCATGTGGCCAACCCCAGATTTGAGTCTCTGGGTCAGTCCATCCATGCTGGCACCCAGGAACCTGAGGTACTGGAGAGCTCAGGAAGGACTGTGGCATGATGAGACCATGTTGAGTTTTTTTCTCTCTCTCCCTTGTGCATGTACACGCACTCTACCAAAATAATGGAAAAAATTAGAATTAACTTATTGGAAGGTAATGAATATGGAACCCAGAAGACAGAGGTTAAGCTATAATTTAATATACAACTAAGATATCTTCCAAAAATAAAGACATTTCCAGACAAATAAAAGGTTGTGCAATTATACTGCAAGCAGAACCGTGCTCAAAGGAAGGCCTTGGGGCCAGCAGGTGGCATGGTGGGTAAGGCACTGGACAATCCCACATGGTTGACCACGGTTCGAGTCCCAGACCTGGTGGCTTGCTTTCTCCAATCAAATGAAAATGAATGAATAAATAAATAAAATTTAAAAAGAAAAAAAAAAGGAAGGCCTTCTGGCTGTGAGAAAATGATAGTGGACGGAGAGAGAGGAACGGAGAGGACGAAAATGGGAAACAAATAGGTAGACACACAAGTATGTTCTCTGAAAATTTAAAAGTTGGTGGCCAGAAGGTGCCAAGATGGTTAAGGCGATGGATTTCCACATGGCGGACCATGGTTCCAATCCCAGACCTGATGGCTTCTTTTCTCTTTCTGTCTCACTGTTTCTCTCTGGTCAATTTGAATAATAATAATGTTACTATTAACATTATCAACAATACTATATATTTTATATTAATACTATATTATTATTATCAATGTTAATAATGATATTAATAAACACAATGAAATGAATAGTTATTTTAAAAAATCAGTCCATTTTTAAAAAAATAAGTGTGGGGCTGAGCCCAGCCTGCTAGGGGCCTGGAGAACACCTGAGCACGTCCCAGTGTCTTGCACGGTGCTCGGCTCACCAAGGTGATTCACAGAGAGCTGCTGAATGCACGCAGGTGACGTGGTATAGCTCCCTCTCCTTGCCCCGAGTAATTTCCCAGAGACTCATTAACACCCATTCCCGCCCTCCATCCTGCCCAGATGGCCATGCTGTGTCCCTGCCCAAACACAGGGCTTTTCTGCCTTTTGCTGCTCTTCTAAAGGGCAGACCCTCACCTGGGTAACACCTGAACGAGGCGGAAGAGACGGCACAGCCCTACCACAAAGCCCTCTTTTAATTAGAAATCATCAGACTAATTCCCAAGGAATAGACATGTACTGGCTGCCCCAAGCCTGTCCTCAAGGAGCCAAGGCCTGCCTTGGTCTGCAGACTCGTATGTGGTTTTATTCATCACCTAGCTCAGTCACCCCAATGATTCTCCACCACCGACCCCCCTCTCCCCGCCCCAACTCATTTGAGAAGCTTCGGGGATGAACTGTCCGAGTGCGGCAGACACAGGAACTGCATGGCCATGCGCTGGTGTGGGGCCAGCCAGAGTCCTCACCTACCCATACCTTCTACCTCAGCTGCATCCCAGCACTGGCTGACAACAAGGAGACCAAGACCCTGTCATGACAGCCCACAGTGGCATGAGAACAAGCGGGTCAGAGGTTACTGGGTGCATGACCCTGAGACCCCTGAGCTATGTGTGCTCCTGGCCTTAATTCTGGAAGGGATTAGAGCAGTGATCTTGTGCTCCCGTCATTCCAGGACCCCCATTTGCCTCTCCACACGTAGCAGCCAAACTATCTGATGAAGTCTATCACACTACTCACATTTTCACTGATGTGGGCTCATTTTGAAAGTGTGCTTCATTTCTCCACTAGTGGTGATAACGGGGACGAGCACCTCCTGCTGGAGGATGAGGGATGCACCCTGGAGGAGCTGGCACCCCAACATGAAAATTCCAGCCCAGCTCGGCAACTGCTCTGTGCCTCTGGGTGTCACTTAGCCTCTCTGAGCCTTGGCTTCTCTACAGCACCAGGTCAGTGACACTTCGAAGTCGTGAGGTTTAACTGTGACGATGGACACACGGTCATGTGCACCAGGAATGAGAAGACTGAGAAGGCACAGCAGCCTCCTGTTCTCGATGAATGGTCTCCCTGATCCTGACCCGGTTTCTCCTGATATAGGGGCTTCCACTGTGGTGCCCGCCTCAGGCGGAGAGCTCCCATGGCGGAGCACATCAGGCAGTTCCAACAGCCACAGCGGCTGCTTCCTGAACTCGAGCCCACGCGGGCATGCCGGCAACAGGCGAAACCACCCGTTAACACATTTTCAACGTACCGTCTTGTGAACCTGTGAAGTCCTCAACTTAGACAGTTCTAAGCAAAAAGTGTAGGGAGGAGGCCAGCAGATGGCAGGATGGTTAAGGGGCTGGACTCCCACACAGCCAACCATGGTTCGAATCCCCAACCTGGCGACTTGAAAATCGTACCAGGCGTGTGTGCATCCATGCCCCGAATCCCGAGTATGGAGAAGGGATCGTGGTGTAGCCACAATCCTGGGGGGAGGGGGGCATTTCTCAGTTTCCCTCTCTGTCCCTGTGTCTCTTTCCGGCGAGCACATGCACCCTATGGCAAAAACCCCCAAATGTACAAAACCTGTAGGGAGGTGCTGACCAGGAACGAGGCGAAAGGGGTAACAGCTCTAGGCCCCACCTGCCTGGGTCCTCAGGCTCTCACCAACTTGAGGCTTTTCTTGCACAGAACCGGCTCCTTTGCTCTGTGGCAATTGTGATCCCGGATGGAGGACAGGGTGTGGCTACCCTAGAAAGCAGCAGCATGGCTGGGCCCTTCCTCTAGGAAGCCTGCCCTCCCCAGAAGCCCCATCAGAGTCCCCTCCCGCCTCACTGGTCAGAAGCACTCCATCTGCACGGCCCTGAGCAATCACTGCTGTGGGCGAGTTATTACCAGGGCTGTCCGATGTGCCAGAATTCCTCCCGGGGCTGTGGTCCACCAGCCTTCTGGGAGAAGCTGGGTGGGTAGGGGCTTGGGAGGCAGGCACAGCCCCTCCGCACCTGGCTGGCCCTGTCAGTCCTTCCAGGCTGGCCGGGCGCCCCTCACGTGATTGAGCCTGCAGGGCTGACTGGGAACGGAGCTGACAGTGCCTTTTGGAGGTACCATTCTCATGGATGAACTTGGACACCCCACAGAATACTACACAGCTGCTAAAAATAATGAGGTAGCTGCCCCATGGGGAAAGGTCACCAGGACGCAGTCCACAGCAGAGCAAGGAGCAGAGGGCACTGGGTACCACACGTAGCCTGTATAACACCGTGGAAAGAATCTTAAATAGAAACACACTGGGATTTTTTTCCAGACAAATCAAAGGAGCTGCTACAATACTTCTGAGAGGGTCTCATGGAGGACAAGGGGGAGGAGGTGTCGCCTTCTGTGATATTTACGTTTTGAGCCTTATACACCAATCACTCATGGCTGTCTTTAATGCCACCAACAGTGGTCTAGGCGATGAAATTACGCAAGCTTTGTCTTGTTTTCTACAATTCTAAAAACAGCCTCGACTCCGTAAGCCTTACAGCTGTTTAGAAATAGCCGTTTGGTGACTCCCGCCTGGAGCAGCTGTACCCGTCCTTCTTAGAGTACCCCGGCCTGCCTGGGACCTGACTGGAGAGTCCGCACCCAGAACAGCACCCGAGTGGCCTGAGCAGGGCCCGCCCCTCATTCTCCTCCATGAGACATGGGCTCCAATACAGACGCTGTGCTGATGTAAAAGTGAGCTCATTTAAAGCCAGTGCGGTGTCCTTCTGGGAGTCAGGAGCAACCTCAGCCTCTCTGGTTGCAGGTCTGTGTACCGTGGATATTTCACCAGGAAGAGCCGGAAGAAGGCAGCAGGAAGGCAGGTCTCTGAGCACACCCAGGCCTGAGCCCTCAAGGCTGAGAGCTGGAGAGCGTCTCCCTCGCCTGGCCTCTCCAGTCAGGCCTCGAGTTGCACGGGCGAGCAGCTCACAGAACCTGCTTCTTCTTCTTGGGGGTCTGGGCTGGCCGCAGCTCCCCGGGCCCGTGGGCAAAGGGGCAGCGATCCGAAGGCAGAGCACAGCCGTCAGGGTGGTAAAGGAAAAACCAACAGAGGCGGGTTTTGAAAGCTTCTGAAAACAACCTCCGTTTTGCATCTGGCTGCTTTTTCTTCCGTGGCGTCTCAGCTCTCCAGTCACGAACGTGAACTCGCCCATTCAGAACTGTGGTTTGGAACAGAGGGAAGACACAGCCGAGAGGTTAATCTGCATCCATTTCACAGGAGACCCCGCTCCAGAGCTAGAGACAGCAGGCACACCAGCAAGCAGTGCCCGTAACTGTAGGCCGGTGCCCTGGTATCTAAGAAGTTATCAAGGAGGGCCAGGGGCCAAGGAGTGGGGAGGCCTGCTGGAGGTAAGGCCTGCGGGAGGTGAGGAGCGGCCAGTACAAGCAACCCAGGACTGACAGGATCAGGGCTGCCGGAGGGCTGGCCAGGGCAGAAGAGCTGAGGGAAGTCACATGGGGCCTCGTGCAACACCACAGAGACCACGATCCACCCTCTGGGTAAGCCAGTTGATGTGGCAGTGACCTTTTATAAGGACTCTGTTAGTGGCTGAAGAGAGGACTGGGTATGAAGATCATAAACGTAGCCCCTGCCTGGATAAAACAGGAGAAAACACTGTTCTAAGAGGACTGCATTTTAGCATCACAATCAGAAAACGGGGGTGAGGAAGGAGGGGAAGATCCTCTTAGGGCAGTGTGAAGTGGGGGCAGGTAAAAGAGGGGCCCCCGTCAGGACCCTGCCAGAGGTGGGGAGGGGCGGGCAGGACGGGAAGGTCCCCTTGAGTTCTAGGTGCTGGCTGGAGCAGGGCAGCCTCTACCTCTGGCACGGCCTATGGGGGCAGCAGTGACACGCATACCCACAAGCAGGGCTCCTCTAGGTGCAAAGGGGAGTCAGGGAGCACGAGCAGCCCAGACAAAGGAAGGTGAGGGGTCCCCATGTACCAGGTGTCTGTTGACATCCCACCTAGGGGCAGTGGCTGGCGCAGGAGGGCCCTGGTAGGGGGAGCCAAGGAAGGCAGCCAGAGGTCACCCGGCCAGGGCCCGTCCCCTGAGCTGCCTCCTGACCCAGCGACCTGAGTGAGCTTTCCCTCGCCCTTCCTCTTTAAAGCCAACAACTCCACATGAAACATGGCCAAAGCAATTAAGTCCTTCCTGGTTTTCGGCCTTCTGGAGATAGAGGCTCAGCAGAAGTGAAGGAAGCTTATTGAGCAGGTCTGGCTCAGTGACTTGCAAGGAGAGCTTGAAAGGGTGCGTGTTAAAGCTGAGCTCCTGCTCTCACCCACCCTGTGCTACAGCAGCAAGGGGCCTGTTCACCTTCAGCAGATTGGGAATTACTGAATACTTTCCCCTGAAACCAGAGATGAGCACAGAGAGCAGTGTCTCACTGCACCGAGAGACACAATGGACAGATTCATCCTCACGGGACGGGCTGGAGGCACCTCCGGGGCTGTCGGCTGCTATGGCCCCATTTAACCTCCCACGGCGCCTCTCTGGGCAACCTCCCAAAGCGCACAGGCGTTTCTTAACCTGGAAGCTGAGGTGTAGGGGACATTTGCTGTGCTGCTGGATGTTCCCACAGGAGCACCCCACACAGCATGGATGGATGCGTCCTGGCCACTGGGGGGACCCAGGCCCTGGAAGTGTGTGTGTGTTGCCGTAGGAACATGAGCTTCTGCTAGATTCTGGGTGGGTGTGTGATCCAAGAGAGAGGCCCATCTGGCCTGAAGCCCTGACATGCTCAGAGAAAACAGAGGAGGACAGTGGGGGGCTGCTGGGGCCAGGGCTAGGCTGGGCTGGAAACACACACCCCCATGCTGGCTCGGCCCCCAATCCATTGGGCAGGCTGGCTTGAAGCAGGCCCAGCACAGGCAGCTTTGCAAACTAAAAGCAGACCTAGCCACATTCTCACACTCCCTGAGCTACACCCCTGGGCCATGGGCAGCTCCTGACCTACCCTAACTCCCGTGTCCCCAGCCTGGGCAGGCACTAAGGGAGCAGGGTGGCCTCCAGAGCACAGGCTCCAGCCAGCTAGGCAGTCAGACCACCAGCAGCTGTCCTCCTGCACTCCGGAGTTTAAAGCAGAGTCACAGGAGCAGACGTCCTGGGCGCAATCTCACCCGAGCCCGGGCCCGTCTCCCCACTGTGCATGCTCCCTTGGGCCTCCGCTTGGTGCAGGAGCCACCCTTCCATCTTCTCTACTTTCTACGCAAATACTCCCTCCAGCGCCAGCGTCCCGAGGACCTGGATAAAGGTGCAAGACAGACCCCGCGTGGAAGAACCAAGGAGTTCCAGCTCTGGGTCACCCACCCGCAGGGAGCCTGGCCACGTTCCCGAACCTCACAGAACCAGGTGCACAGACGAGGACAGGACGCCTGCTCCACGTTGAGTGCAGTGAGGTCTGTGCACACACTGCAGGGCCCCTGCCAGCACTGGGCAGGTCTCGGGGAGGCAGAGACAGACACCGTCCTGCCCTCTGTCCTCTGTCCTCTGCCCTCGCGGTCTTGACCCCAGGGCTTCTCTACCCATGGCCGGCTTACAGCTTTCCCTAGCCTGCTGACTGGCACACAAAAGTCCTCCAGTGCTGGCTGGTCTGAAGACATCTGAGACCGTTTACACTCCCTCACTCACATAAACATTTCTCAAGACTAGCCACGTTAGTGGCTTTTAAAAAAAAAAGAAAGGAAAAAAAAAAAAAGCAAAGCTCATACAGAGATAAGATCCAGTATGAGTGCATTTTTTTTGCATGACGGGAAGGAGAATGTTTATTTGGAGCTCAATCCCCACAGCCTCCTACTCAAGTGTTTCCAAAAATAATGTGGCCCTGACCTGAGCTGTGCAGGAAAGCAACGACATATATGCATATTTATGATGGGAAAGAGATACTACTTCACAAAAGCAAACCGAAAAACGTGTTGGGGGAAACAGGAAAAAGACAGGTCTCTTGGGGTGCAGCAAGTATTTGAACTGAGTAAAAGCTCTGAGCGAGGACGAGTGCATCCCAGGCATGCCTGAGCTGAGCCCAGCATCTCCACACGCAGGGCCTGCCTCCATAGCTGCCCCACAGACACTACAGCTACTTGACGAGGCTTCTCCCAGCCCAGCAAGAGTGCCTACCCAAGCAAGAGCATTTACACATGACGACGTAGCTATGCACAAGCAACCAGGTCATACAAAGATCAATGCTAGCCACGTTAGTGGCTTTTAAAAAAAAAAGAAAGGAAAAAAAAAAAAAGCAAAGCTCATACAGAGATAAGATCCAGTATGAGTGCATTTTTTTTGCATGACGGGAAGGAGAATGTTTATTTGGAGCTCAATCCCCACAGCCTCCTACTCAAGTGTTTCCAAAAATAATGTGGCCCTGACCTGAGCTGTGCAGGAAAGCAACGACATATATGCATATTTATGATGGGAAAGAGATACTACTTCACAAAAGCAAACCGAAAAACGTGTTGGGGGAAACAGGAAAAAGACAGGTCTCTTGGGGTGCAGCAAGTATTTGAACTGAGTAAAAGCTCTGAGCGAGGACGAGTGCATCCCAGGCATGCCTGAGCTGAGCCCAGCATCTCCACACGCAGGGCCTGCCTCCATAGCTGCCCCACAGACACTACAGCTACTTGACGAGGCTTCTCCCAGCCCAGCAAGAGTGCCTACCCAAGCAAGAGCATTTACACATGACGACGTAGCTATGCACAAGCAACCAGGTCATACAAAGACGGTGTATAGATGTGTGCGTGTGTGCAACTCACACAGGGGCAGCGCGTGCATGCCTGAGCCCTCGCACACACACACCGGGGCAGCGCGTGCACGCCTGTGCAGCACATGCACACCTGTGCCCTCACATGCACACAGGGAGCAGCACGTGCACTCCTGCGCCCTCACGTGCACACTGGGGGCAGCACGTGATGCCTGCGCGCTCATGTGCACACAGGGGTGGGGGGACAGCACGTGCACGCCTGTGCCCTCAAGTGCACACCAGGGGCAGCACGTGCACACCTGCGAGCTCATGTGCACACCAGGGGCAGCACGTGCACGCCTGCGCGCTCACATGCACACCTGCGCGCTCACGTGCACACCGAGGGCAGCATGTGCACGCCTGTGCTCTCACGCACACTCAGAGGGTTGGGGAAGAGAATCTCGTGGCACTCTACTCACTTAGGAGCTCTGTGGACTGAAGAGAAGACAGACATGCTTCCTCAGCTCATTTGGCCCTGTCATGGCCTCCTTCCCCACCACCTGCCTGAGTCACTGCCTGCCTATTCCACTTGGCTGCAGGACACAGGGAGAGATGGGGAGATCTGCCCCAAACCCTGAGGCCCAGACAGCTGCCCACAGCCCGAGAGGGCCCTTGGCTGTTCAGGTGTATGTACCCCGTGATGGCTTCCCTCACCTCTGGGAAAGCCCTGCCCAGCAGCCCCCCCCCCGCCCGTGTTCACATAGAGCCCAACTCTGAGCTCCCTGCTCTGCTGGAACCACCACTCTGACGGGCTTGGGGTGCCGATCTCCCTGCCAGGCCCAGGGAACAAGGACAGAGTAGCTGTCATCTCCACGTACAGCCTCCACACAGAGCATCCACTGCACCCACGCGGAGGCCAGCCCTCAGCGGGCACCTTGGGGGTCAGGCATCTTCAGGCCTGGTGGTCTTCCCAGGCTGAATAGGGGTTGGGAGAGTGTATCCTGCCCACCAGCCGCACACTCCTCCATCAGTTACACTTGCTGAGCACCACAGTGGGGGACTCGCCTAAACATCTCTTGAGACTAGCCACATTAGGGTCTTATTTTTTACATAAAGGAAAGCTCACAGGACAGTGAGGGGGTGCCTCTGGCTGGTTTGGACCCATCCACAGGGAGTTCAGTCTAGGTGGGCATGATGCAACAGAGCATAGGAGGTTGTGACAAAAGTAGGCACCAAACCTGGGGGCCGGGGCAGGTGGGGGGTGCCAGGCAGCTGCTGGAGAAGGTTGGTTTAGTGGAGACACCAGGCTACCCCTTGAAAGCCTTGGCGCTCATCAGACATAGCTGTGGCAGGGCGGGAACGCACAGGAGGAAACGCAGTGGGGCTGTGGAGGACGGAGTCTGGCAGGAGTGTGCAGGGCCAGGGTGGCAGGTGGATGGGTGGCTCCGCCAGGCCCACACACCGTACAGGCCGCAACGCACGCTGTGCCACTCAGCGCGTCCTTATAGAGCACCTTTCTGACCCAGGAGGATCCCACCCACCAGTTCCTGCCTGGGAAGAGCACTGTGGGTAAGGTACACAGGTACACAGCCTGGGCCCACACCTGGCTATCACAAGACAGCTCACGGTGGGCCAGGCGTCAGGTGCTAAGTCACTCCCACTAAGTATAACCCAGAGTCAGACCCTGTGCAGAGACTGAGCACAGGGCTGCACTTAATCGGCCAGGCAGCCCAGATGACTGCCAGGGACTCAAGGCTCTGTGTCCAGCAGGTCCCATACACAGAGGTCAGGGAACCAGGACCAGGAGACAGGCTGCTCCTTATGGAGGACTTCGGGGCCACCCTTCCCCACTCGCCACATGGTAGCTGCAGTCCCACCGGTCCCCACCCCATCCTAGGCCCTTTGCAGACACTGTTCCCTCTGCCTAAGGTGCTCGTCCCACCCTCCTCCCGAGTGACTCTGATTTTCCTTCTGGTCCTCCAGTGTCCTTCACTACGTAAAGCCCTCCTACGCCTCTCGAGAGCAGGCCAGATCCTCCTGCGCGTCACAACTCTCGCAGAAACGTGCCCAGAATGCTGTGTGGACGCAGGAAGATGCCTGCTTTTGGTTTTAAGTGCCACAGGGTGTGTGTGCTCACCAGGGAGAGCGAGCGTACATGTGTGCAAGGATATCCCCAATGGGGTGTGGTCACGTGGCAATCCTTTCTCATCCATTTCTCCATCCCATCAGGGTTTGGGGCACACACATGCACGCAGGCCCAGGATGTTGTTCTAGCTGCTGGGGCTGGGATCTGAACTGTGGACAGCCCTGTGGGATCTGGCTCCCTATGCACAGGGCTTACCCCCTGCACTTCACAGAGCTGGCCTAATGCCTGCTTTTTTTTTTTTTTTAAGAAATTATTTAACTTTGTTATTATTATTATTGTTTAGTTTGCTACAGGTCACATGCACTCATCAGAGACAAAGATAAAGTGAGAAAGTAAGCCACCATGTCCGGGATTCGAACCACGGTTGGCCAAGTGGGAGTCTAGCTCCTTTAACCACCATGCGACCTGCTGGCCTCCCAATGCCTGCTACTTTTAAAGATGCACAACGTTACTTAGGGATGATAGAGCATACTAACTGAGATTTAATGTAAAATACTGTCATTAAGAAAAAGGAAAAAAGAAACCTTCACAAAGCATGGCAAATTATCGACCTCCTGGATAGTACGCAGGAGCTCCTTGTACTGCCCTCGTCACCTTTGTGCACACCTGGGAACCTCAGGGGAGCTTTCTAACCCCTGGGTATCTGGGTCAACCCTGGTCACAATTCCCTCTCCCTTCCCAGCAGGGAGGGGCCATCTAAGTGAATGATCAGCAGCAGGTGAAGGGCCCTTCCACCTGCCCCACCTGGCAGACATGGCTCACAGGACATCACTGCAGGAGGGAGCCTTGCTCCAAAGCACGGCTCAGGGAGTCCCAGCCCGGCAGGCAGGGTAGGGCGTTGGGAAGGACTCCAGGCCTCCGACAGCAAGGTTAGGGCTCTCTTCTCCAACTCCCCACACCTGGCTCCACAACTCTGGATGCCTCCAGCGTGCAGAAGGCAAAAGACAAAAAGGCAAAGTAAATAATGAAGCCCGCCCAGAAAGCTCTCAGGATGACACCCGGGGTCATCAGGCTTTCTGACTAGCTGTTTGCTCTGCACAGGGAACAAGCAGAGCCGAGGCACCTGTGAGTGCACCCTACACAGGAGTGAGGCCGGGTCGGGGGCACAAGCTAGGCCGGGGGCAGGGAGAACTCAGACGGGGAGAGGTAAGGGATGTCTCATCCAAAGGAAGACGTCAACAGACAGGTCTGGGGAGGCTCAGGGCTCTCGGAGCCATCTTTCTCATTTTCCTGCAAGCCTAAGCTACTCTATAATAAAATGCTTACTTAACTGCAGAGGGAAAGGGAAAGAAGGAAATTTACGTGCACCCCTGCTCCAGGAAGGTGACGACCTGGGGCCGGGCCTTTACCTTCGAACACCTGGTGGCTGTTTCTGAGCAGCGTCTGCAAGCCTCCACATTCCCGCTTCAGCCTCTGCAGTGTCTCCTTGTCTAGCTCTCGGGCTACTTCAGCCAAAGAAAGGCTTTCTATCAAAAAAAAAAAAAACAGGTTTCTCCCAACACAGTGACCACATACTTCAAGCCTGTTAAACAGGCAGAGACTGCTGAGTCCAAAAGTCCAATCTAATTCTGTAAATTCAAATCCCTTATGTACCTCAGCGGGAGCGACCACGTCCATTTCTCATCGAATCCACACCTCGCAGAGCCAGAGCGACAAGGAGAGCTCATCACCACCTGGGTGAAGAGGCGCAGCCCGAAGGGCCAAGGTCTGAACACTAAGGAGACGCTGCTGGCCTGCTCTGGGGTAGTGACCCACCATGGGGGACAGCTGCCAGGGCCAAGGTTTCTCAGACAAGGAGGGGAGACGAGTCTTGTAAGTCTGAGTTTTATCAGAAGCTGCTCCACCAAACCCGCTCGCCGGACCTCAGAGTACAGAGCTTAGGAGGCAGACACATGAAAAAAATCTCAGCTGCTACTGCGATGGTCTCTTTTCCATTTGGAATTTCAATGAGAACATGCATGCATTTCAAAATGCTCCATGCTGATCAGAAATCCTGGGGAGAAGTCAGTTTATTGCCAAAACATCAAAACATCACATTAGATGTGAGACGGAGACTGGTGTCTCCTGTGTATTTGCCAATTTCTTTTTTTTTTTGAAGAGGTTTTTTTTTTTGGCTGTAGGGCGCATGCGCTCGCTAGAAAGACAGAGACAAAGAGACAGAAAGCGAGAAATCACCCCCCAGGGCGGATGGTCACGCCGCAATCCCTTCTCCTCCATTCTCCTCTTGGGATCTTGGGCACACACGCACACACACCTGGTGTGAATTTAAGCCACCGGGTCCGGGAATCAAACCGTGGTCAACTACAAGGGAGTTCAGCAGCACAGCCATTACGCTAACTGCTGGTCCCCATATTTGCCAATTTCTGTGCCAGGTCCAATGCTTCATCTCACCCACACCCTCCCAACCAAAGTGCAGGTGAGCCGAGGACGGCTGCATCTGCCTACAGGTCCAACCCCCAGACACATAGCTCAGTGCCACTCCATTGCCATAGCCCTAGTGGCCCCGGAGGGGATGGCTGCTCTTGTAGGTGTGGCTCCCATCCTGTCTATCGAAGCCCAGCCAACCTCTATGGCCAACGGGAGGGACTCCTTGCTCTTGCTCTTTTCCAACAACCCAAACCAGGCCTGCCCACCGGTGTTTCCAACGGGCAGACAGAGCTGAGGCTGCCACTCAAAGCCACTGCTGCTGTCTCTAGATTCCCGCCTTTGCTCAGAAAGGCTTTCCATCCCGAGCAGGCTAGCATCACCCATGCTCATGTCCTTTCCTGGAAACTGAAAGGTCCCACTGCACTGAGGAATACCCACTGCTCAACCACAGGGTCCTGGGGCTTCCTGCTCTGGCTGCCTGCTGTGCTATGCCAGCTCCGCTAAGAGGCCCTACCCACAGCCCGCCTTCCTCTGTAGTAGGGCACATCTGGGATGCAGAACCAGCCTGGAGACCCCGGGGTATGTGGGGGCTGTCCCAGCCAGGGCGCTGGCCAATCGGCTCACTGGACAGGTCCTTCTGACAGTGCTACCAGGCTAGGATTACCTCTGGAGGGGAGCATGTGTGATGGTCCTGCCACATAACATCAGGTGAAATGAGGAAGGAAACTTGAGCATAATTTGGTCACAACAGTCACATATGATTGTGACCTCCTCCCTGACCTGTAGCCCCAAGAGGGCCAGCTGGGCAAGGTTCAGCAATAAACTGTGCAGGAAAAGGCCAACGGGCTGGGTTCCTTGCTCTTGTCCAACAGCCCAAATCAGAGAACAAGTCACCATCCCAGAACAGACAGCCCCACACTGCCCTCTGGCGGCTGCTCAGCATCATGCTGCCGGGAAGGGGAGAGGGGAGAGCGATCCTTACTGAACAGCCCCGAGAAGCTTAAACGCTGGGTCAAGCATCAAAGCTCATGCTGCGGTCCTTGTCTCTCTTGAATGCCACTGATTTCAGCACACTACTCGTCCATGAGAGCCACCAGAGGCAACATCCTCCCGTCTGTCATAATGTCTGTCATAATGAGCCACGTACTTTGGGCATTTCAAAGAGAAATGATCAAATGACAGTATCTCTAAAACCCCCCCAGATTCAAGGGGACAGTACACTTGTCTGACATTTGGTAACCTGCTTTCTGAACAATTTCTACAGACTGAAAATGAATACTCCAGCCCATGAACCTGTGTGGTTTTTCATAAAGTTAATTAGGGCCCAACCGCTACCACTCCCTGGCCTCAGCCTCCCTCCCCTGAGGTATTCAAAGCCCTTTACGGTAACAGGAACTAAGGAAAAATCCAAAGAATGAGCTTTAAACAGCCTCTATATCATCGACGTCTTTGGTAGAGTGTATTTAAGTACAAAGGACGACCCAGCCCTACCTCCCTGAAACCCATCACGTCCCGGTCTGGGGTGACTTAATAGATGGCTCACCTCCTGCATTCCAGGTCTTCACATTCCCACTTTGATCATTTCTTGTGTTTAGTTGCTTCCCACCTAACAGCAAATTTGCCACTCGCAAAACCACTTGGTCCACAAAATCTCGAGGGAGAGTGGCACAATTCCTCACAGGCTCCGCTTTCCCTCTCGGGTGAAATCCGGGCAGCCAGGGCCCTTGGGCCTGCGTTTCTGCTCTGTGCTCAACAGACTGGGCCTCACCCAAGGTGCTGTGACTGTCGCCGTGACCAGCAGTGCTGGCAGCAAGCTGGGGTGCAGAAGAGGGCGGCTCCCCACCAGCTGGACTCACAGGGCAGCCACGCCGGCTGTGGATGTACTGAGTCCTCTGCTTATCAATAGAAACTTCTGCAGCGGGCTGGTACGTTCTGGATTTCCCAACAAGACAGACCTGCATTTGAAGAGAGCAAAACAAGCCTCTTAACAGGAGCATATAACTTCGCAATGCTCTCTGTGGGGTTCCCTTCTTCTAGAGTACAAACTACACACAGGTTTCAGACATCTATCATGAAAAGAATATTAGACTAAAAACGCATACCAGAGGGAAAGATGAGCACCCAGCACTGGAACTGGATCCATGCAGGAAGGCCTGGGTTCAAACCCCAGTATCCAGGCACATGCCTAACACATGTGCCCATGATCTGGGCTGCTGAGGCTGGGGGTTGGACACAGTGTGAATACCCTACGGGGGCCCCTGCCTTCCCTCCCTCACTTTCTCTGTCTCTCCTCTCATGGAGGAAATAAACTTAGAAAAAAGAAACACCAAATGATTTAAAAATTAAAAATAGCAGAAGCCCAGGGAAAATCACACAGATCTAACAAAGGCCTACAAATTAGAGTCTGCATTTACTGAGCTCAGAACCTACCCGTTCTCATCACACTGCACTCACCTCAGCACCTCGCGCAGGTGCTCGCATTAACGCTGTGGAGTTCTCAGGGAAGTGTAAAAGGAGACGCTGGACGAACCTCGCTGCAGTGAGAAACACGAGCCCTGGCACAGCACTGATGTACTGCAGGAGCATATAACTTCGCAATGCTCTCTGTGGGGTTCCCTTCTTCTAGAGTACAAACTACACACAGGTTTCAGACATCTATCATGAAAAGAATATTAGACTAAAAACGCATACCAGAGGGAAAGATGAGCACCCAGCACTGGAACTGGATCCATGCAGGAAGGCCTGGGTTCAAACCCCAGTATCCAGGCACATGCCTAACACATGTGCCCATGATCTGGGCTGCTGAGGCTGGGGGTTGGACACAGTGTGAATACCCTACGGGGGCCCCTGCCTTCCCTCCCTCACTTTCTCTGTCTCTCCTCTCATGGAGGAAATAAACTTAGAAAAAAGAAACACCAAATGATTTAAAAATTAAAAATAGCAGAAGCCCAGGGAAAATCACACAGATCTAACAAAGGCCTACAAATTAGAGTCTGCATTTACTGAGCTCAGAACCTACCCGTTCTCATCACACTGCACTCACCTCAGCACCTCGCGCAGGTGCTCGCATTAACGCTGTGGAGTTCTCAGGGAAGTGTAAAAGGAGACGCTGGACGAACCTCGCTGCAGTGAGAAACACGAGCCCTGGCACAGCACTGATGTACTGTGTGGGAAAGGCCACTGTGCTAATCTCCTTCCTTAGTATGTCCAAGCGACGGCTGCGCTTCAGACAGCGCCCGCGGGACAGGGGCCTACTCCAGCAGTGCTGCCGAGGAAGCCCATGGGCTTCCTCTCCCGGCCTTAACTACAAAGCCAGGTTCTAGGCGATGAACGCCAATCTAACTATACCATGGCCACACCGTATTTCTCCCCAGCTCTGCCCTCTGCTGGCAGAGCAGAGCCGCGTGCGCTCCGTCCCTAGACGTCACTGTGCGTGGACTGCTTTAAGCTATGACGCCATCTATGTGCTCTCTCACAGCTGATCCCCCAAACCTCCCAGGGATAAGATGGCTCGAGCTCAGGAAGATCAAGTGACAGTCCCTGGTGTGTCTGGTGACGAGTAAGAGAAAGGTGAATGCAAAAATCAACTGGAGGGTCCTCCGACTACCTAGATGACCCAACTTCAGCTGTTTTCAAAAAGCAATTCCAAACTAAGAAAACTAAGACTTGGCAAAATAGAGGACATTTAGGAGAATAACAAGAAGCTCTTCGGATGAGCCTGAAAGGCTACTTCCAGAGTAAGTCTGAACAGTGACAGCCCCCACTGTGTGTATCTTGGTCTGTGACACAGTCTGAGGCCTCCCACCTAAATGTGAACACATTATGGAGGACAACGATGCTCAGGACATACTCTCTTGGTTGAAGGGATTCGAAGGCAGTCTTCCTCCACGTGAAAGCCACAGGTGAGCCCCACTTCTCTGATGAAATCCAGGTACTCTCGGTACTGAGTCCTGCTACTCTGCCTCCGGTGGTATCTTCCCACGAAGTCAAAGAAGCAGCACGGAAGGACAAAGAAGCGGCATTTGTAAGAAGACCTTCAAAATAAGAACAGCCAGGACCAGCAGTTAGCATAATGCCTATGTCGCTGGACTCCCCAAGTAGTTGACCATGGTTCGAGTCCCAGACCCAGTGGCTTAAACGTGCGTGCCCAAGATTCCGAGAGAATGGAGGAGAAGGAATTGCAGCATGGCCATCCCCCCTGGGGGGGTGATTTCTCGCTTTCTGTCTCTCTGTGTCTTTCCGGCGAGCACATGCACCCTATAGCAAAAACCTCTCAAAATAAAGAATAGCCACAGAAACCAAAAACCAGGCACAGGTTCATTAAAGAAAATTTAGCACAAGTCACATAGCAATAGCAAAAGACAGATTTAGTCCTGGCTAATAATGGTTTTCATGCAAAGAAATTGAGTGTAGCCTCTAATAACAATGGAGCACAGTATGTCTTTTCAGTAAAATATGGACCAAGCACTGTTATAAAAAATACTTTCCAGGGACCAGCAGTTAGCGTAATGGCTATGTCACTGGACTACCATGTAGTCGACCACGGTTCGCGTCCCAGACCCGGTGGCTTAAAACTCACGCCAGGCGCATGTGCGTGCGTGCCCAAGATTCCTAGAGGAGAATGGAGGAGAAGGGATTGTGGCATGGCCATCCCCCCTGGGGGATGTCTCGCTTTGTGTCTCTCTGTCTCTCTCTGTCTGTCTGGCGTATAGCAAAACCCCCTAAAAAAAAAAAAAAAATTTCCGCCATAGTTTTTCTTGTCAAGTGGGATAGAAAATTTCCTGAAGTTCTTTGAGATTTCAGCTATGAATACGAAATTTCAGAGGCAGGCATAACAATGATTAGGTTAACACTTGATCCTTGAACTACGTTATTACTTGAGAACTAAAGCAGTTCAGGGCTGGCTCTGCGGAGATGTGATGTGTCACTAAGAGAAGCCAGATCCCACGTGGTTAACCTTGGTTCGAATCCCCAGCCTGTCAGACTGAAAAGACATTAGGTGTGTGTGAGCGTCCAAGAGCTGATGGCCTGGAGGGCTGGAGGAAAGGGACTGCAGCAGGACCAAACCCCAGACGGTGCTCCTCTCTCTCTCGTGCACGCACACATGCTTTATCACAAATACAGAGGGATCATCACAATAATACCCAGTTCAAAAGAGCCTTTGATAAAAGAGACAGGGCAACGTGATATTAAGGAACAACACGCTGGGGTCTCTTCCTGGTGTAAAACCTAAGCCATTGCTGACAGATGCCAGGAGAGGGCCCTTGCTGCTGCAAAGGGTCTATCTACTGACAGATTTTTCCTTTGAAGACGAACTTTATCATCAGAAAAACCTCCAGAGAAAGGTACACCTTTCAGCACTGGATCTAAATCTTGTCATCAAGAGAAGTAATTAGGGGCCAGGTGTGGTGCACTGGACCATATGGGAAAGGTCCTGGGTTCAAGTCCTGAAACTTCCCTGGGAATGCTGAGTACATGCAAGCCCATAGCACGGGCTGGCTGAGGCTGGGATGCTGGGGTGCTAGATTAGTACAATGTAAATAATCATCATTTTTGATCTGTGTTGGTCTAATAATGGAAATATAATGTGAACCATGCATGTAACTTCACATTTTCTAGTAGCCATGTTTTAAAAGTAAAATACTGGAACATCTGAAAAGTCATGACTTTTCCAACAATCCAAGAAAATATTTTAAATTTAGTCAACTCTGTTCAACAGGCAGTCTGAAACAGCCACATTCCAAGTGTTCAAAGCCCCACGTGATTACCGGCTACAGGCTAAGATAGCACGGTGTAGCTGTCCGGACGTCCCAGCCACTCACCAGCCAACTTCTCTACTCACCTGGCCGCAATGACAGGTATCCATGGTGTGAGCTCATCAGAGTGGTTACCGATTAACCAATCAACATCAGGGAAAAGGGTCTCATCGTTGGGGGTGATTGCATCTTCCTACAGGAATGACATGCAACAAGACAAAATGTTCCTCTTTACCTCAGTGATGAACCTGCAAGACCCAGCAAGGAGCACAGCTCTGGAGGCACACACTGCAGGGTCTGCAGTGGAGCCTTCCTCGGCCCTCTGGCTTGCTGAGTTCCCAGGAAGTGAATGTGCCTGCCCTACAGGGTAGGCAACGAGCAACTTCAGGGTCATCACTGCAGAAACTAACGGCACTTGCCTGACTTCTAGCCTCCCTTCAATAACTAAACACGGGATCTTACAGGAGCTGGAAGAGAGATGGGGTACATGAACTGCCTACCTTCGGCATTTGTGGAAGGACAAATAGCCTTAAGAGTGGGTAAGTGGGGGCCGGCAAGTGGCATGGTGGTTAAGGGCGCTGGACTCCCACATGGCCAACCACAGTTCAAGTCTCAGACCTGGTGGCTTGCTTTCTCACTTTCTCTCTCTTTGTCTCTCTGATCAAACTGGAAAATAACAATGATAATAATAATAAAGTTAAATAAAATAATTCTTTAAAAAAAAAAAAGAGTGGGTAAGTGGAAAGCTGAGTCTGGCCAACAGAAGTGCGTGACGTGATGCACTGGCGCACCTCGCAGGGCCTCTCCTCTACGCAGGCCTGTCTATGAGAGACAGAGCAGAGGAGGAATTTACATCATGAGGCTACGTTAGTCTTTCCTGTTATCTTCTGTAAACTCTCAGAGTAAGCGGCCACTGAATAGGCACTTTAAACATTCTGACAATTTCCATAGTGAAAATAATGAACAGTTTGCATCTGTGATTTAAGAACTTTAAATGGGGGCTGGGCAGTGGCCCAGTGATGCTGTAGGTCCACGCAAGTGGGAAGGTTCTGGGTTTGCGTCCAGAGACTTCCTGGTATAGTCTAGGTGCACATGTGCCCATGATCTGGAGCTGGCTGAGGGTAGGCTGCGGCACTGAGACCCTATTGATGGTGCTGTCTCTGCCTCTGTCTCTCATGGAGAAAATGAACAAATAAAAACTTAAAAAAAAAAAAAACCTGTAAATGAAAACTCTATCCTTTTTGAAAATTAGTAGGCCTACATTAATTTTTGAAATCAAAAGTCTCATAGTGAATCAGTCAGTAAAAACCAGAGACAGTGAGGAGATACTATGTGACCATTCCAGAATCTTAATTTTTTTGAGAGGTTTTTGCTATAGGGCGTGTGTGCTCCCCAGAGAGAAACAGAGAGACAGAAAGCAAGAACTCATCCCCCAGAGGGTATGGCCACACCACAATCCCTTCTCCATTCTCCTCTCAGAATCTTGGGCACGCACGCACATGTGTCTGGTGCGAGTTTAAGCTACCAGGTCCAGGACTCAAACCAAGGTCGACTACATGGGAGTTCAGCGACATAGCCATTACGCCAACTGCTGGTCCCCCAAAGTCTTAATTTTAAGGTTGCAAAATAATAAACAGAAGTGCTATCCCTGATCAAAACAGGGGAAGACATTCTGAAATATATAAGCATATAAACACACATATGTAAATATTTGTACATACACACCCAACTATAGGAGTCTTCTACAGACAAGATTTAGGTAGAAATAAACTGAAATCTACCATCTAGTTCTTAAATAAGCATATGTGCTTCTATTTACATAGATGTTAAAATGCTAAAGAGTATTGTTCAACTGGTAAAAATATAATCTACCCGAAGGAAAAACAAACCTGTGGTACTATTTATTCTTTACTCCCTCCACTCTAGATTTAAATCTGCCCAATAGTCTCTTGAAATGGCTTGAATTAATTAAACACACTCTGCACTTGGTAATTACCACAGCCACCTTTCCAGCCATCTTGGCAGCAGCCCTGGAGACAACAAAGCCACACCTGTTCTATCATAAGCTCTAATTGGCATTCTGAATACAGCAAATTGCAATGTTCCTATTTCGTATGTTGCTCTGCAAAATGAAGACAATTTGTGATCATCACAACACAGTTGTTATAAACAGGTGGCTTTTCTTACCACTCTCTCGCTTACAACCAAATGAGGCCTTTGAAAGAAAGAAGTTCTATCCCGTGCTTGGCCTTTGACTTTCTGGATTGCACCTATTCATGGAACTCACTAGGCTGTGACTGGGAGGAAGCTGTTTACTAGAAAACATCAAACTTGCCGACAAAATAGCTCTCATGCTGGCCATGCTCCTCCAAGACAGAGCGTGGCAGAAATGCAGTTGGCTTCTGCCTGGTGTATTTAACACCGGAACCAGCAGGACTGACACGTAAGGTCCGGGGGTAAGGGGGGAAAAATGGATGCCAGACTAGAGCACAGCATTCTCATTAGCAGACCTCCCCCGACAGAGTGGTCGGGTGGGTTTTCCTGAGTCAGATGACTCCACCAAGTAGTCTGAGGCAGGTCTCTAGGGAACATGAGTAAAGAACTAGAACCTTCTACCTGTTCTCCAGAGGGCGCCTCACACCAGCCAGCTCCTCCCTAGGGTTCTGACTTAAACAGAGGGCTTATTCAATCACTGGTTGAGCTTCTTACCAAAAGAATGTATTGTTGTTGTAGTTGTTTTAAGCTGAGAAACAGAATTCTGAAATCAACTACTTTTGTAGTTTCTGATCACCAACTTCATACCCAAATTGAGAGCCCAAGTTGGTTAAGTTTACTGTAGGAATCTACAGTCTGCATATTTACCAATACTCTTCAAACCCGAGATTTTAAAAATACATAAACGTACATGTGCAACTGCAAATCTGTAGAGTAAGCAGGTATAAATATGAGGAACCTTCAAAACATTCATAAGAAATGTATATTATGAAAAAAAATTGATGCTGACACGATTCCAAGATTTTTTAGTACTAAAAATGAACTTATACTTTCATTCAAATACTTCCATAATTTCTTTTTCTTTTCCAAGATGTTTGCCATCGGGCATGTGTGCTTGCTGGAAGGAGACAGAGGGAAAGTGGGAAACCACTCCCAGTTACAATCCCTTCTCCATATTCTCCTCAGGACTTTGGACATCTTTGTACATGTGTCCAGCATGTTTTTCAAGCTGCCAGGTCCAGGACTCAAACCACAGAGGATCCGGCGCCTTACCCTCTGTATCACTTGATGGCCCTCCACAGACTTTTTTGAGGCCTCCTTGGATAAGAAAAAAATAAACAAGCTTCCCTTCTTCTAATCTTTTTTTTTTTTTCTTGCAATACTATTTTCAACTATAAAAGAAGGCGAAGCCAGTAGAAAATACTAGGCTGTCAGAAAAGTCACGAGGTATTTTTTTCTGTATATGAAGTCTTGGAAATTTCATCTTCTATTTACGAATGACATGATACTAGAGATTTGTCTGGCAATAACCGCAGGGGTTAACCTGTGGGGCAGGGGCACAGCAGACAATAAATGCTGCAGCTGGCAGATGAGTATATGCCTTTGTATGTTCCCAACAGTCTCCATAAGGAAAAGCAAATGATTTTTCATTTCTCCAATCAACATTCCATGTTGTGATAGATGAAAATCTGTGACCTAGACGTGTCCATGAATTTAAGTACATGGATAGAGATCTTGAGGCAAGCTGCTGGGCAGTGGATAGTGTCTGGCCCAAAGGACAGTCAAGTTGGGAACCAGCAGTTAGCGTAATGGCTATGTTGCTGGACTCCCACGTAGTCGACCGCGGTTCGTGTCCCGGACCTGGTGGCTTAAAAAACTCACGCCGGGCGCGTGTGTGTGCGTGCCCAAGATCCCGAGAGGAGAATGGAGGAGAAGGGATTGCGGCGTGACCATCCCCCCTGCGGGGTG